AGCCCAAAAAAAATGTTCTAGTTCAGCAAGGATCATAATTCACAAGCTTTCACAATCTACCAGATGGAAGAGGCTCTTACTTTATCTAAAGATCCAAGCTGTAAGACCCCGTGCGGAACAACTGCTACAACAACAATAGTCTACAAAGCGTATAAATAAAAATTCAGTAATCAATACAAAAAACAATTGACGAGCGAGAGAGAACGGTTCCCATACCTTAATGCCAGCTAAAAATTGCGTTTGCCAACCATCGCAGTACTATTAAGAAATGATCAGACAATGAGTAACAAAACACAACCCGAAATAGTCGAAAAACAAGCATTAATCATATACCTGAAACGATCAGATAAACTTCAGTAACTTATATTATTGCAGAACAGGAAAGAATAGCACCTCAAGTGTTGAAGAGATATTCGGTATTTGCTCATCTGCTGCAGTAATCCATTGATGTTTTCCAGTAACTGCTACCTGTCCAACAATCCTGCAAAAGGAGATAACAATTACAACAAGGTGAAGCCAATTAGAACCCATCATACAATAGCCATATAGAATGCATTATGCTAAGATTTTTACCCTTCCCCAAGAGAATATACATGATAAGACATCTTTGCAACAGCTAATCCAAGAGGGTCGTGTGAATAATGTCCATCGTGAAATTTCTCGACCGTTTTTCTGTAAAACTTGCTCGTCGAGGGTTCATATTGTTCAGAATTGTCATAGTAGCCATCCTCCCAAGTCAGCATCCTGAGTTCAACATTCATTTAAAAGATAATAGATCAAACTTATATATCAACTACATGCACGTTGGGATATGGAGCCTGCTACTAGTAGATAGTAAACGACTATTTATGGTAAAAGACCGGAATATATACGGTAGATATCTATACATACTAGGTGATTATATCTGGTAAAGTTATATATAGGAAACTGAAACCATATATATACTCCTTTCTCTCTTCTCGATATTCACTTTGTACATACATCAAGATCTTCCTTGCATTTTCTCTCTCTTGTTCTTTGTGTTCATCTAGATCAAATGTGTGCGTTGTTGTGTTATCCTAACAGTGGAGATTTAGACTTATGATCTTTTAGTCGAAGTTACAATAACGTCTTAACCATCCAAGAATCATACTATGAAAACAAGTATTTTCTTTCACATCATCCTAAAATCTGCCTTACAAACAAGAAAGAACAAAAGGGTTCGTCGTATAAATCCTCAAAAAGCAAGAAACCGAAAGGAAAATGACTTACATTCGAGCTCGATGCTTAAGTTTCCAAAAGACAGCATACTTCCACTCCGAGTTGAAACAAAAGCTTTTGAGTATTTGGTGCAAATCAGCAGTACCCATCTCTGACTGAAAAACTTTGTCAAACGCCCTCTAAAAAGACTACCCTACAGAACAGGGCTTGCCCCTAAAATCACCTTGAAAAAAACCCAACTCTAAACACCTTGAAAACAAAATCCCCCAATTTTCCTAGCTTCCCCTGTATGAGCCTCTACCAGCCTGCTTTATCCTCAATCCTGCTCGCCGTTTTATTGGCGGTCCAATTGCTGGTGATAGCAGAGGATCAGTTCCCATCCCCCTGAACTCAACAATTCAACACAAATAAGATGGTATCAGCAAATTTCAGCACATATCGCATAGCTTCTAACGCAGTGGACTCCATTAGAGTAGGTATAAGTAAAACACTCCATTAAGAACAAGAACAGCAACAGTAAGAGCTCTTTTTCTCGCAGACCCACCACAGATCACTCGAACAAGGGCAAGATTAAACCCTAAATTATGTCGGACGACATGGATGAACTTACGAAATCGTCATAGAAACAAAAACAGAACAACGAAACAAGAAAAGGGCGATTTCAAGGCTCAAATAAGAGCCGAAAACCAAAACCCAAGAACCAAAAAACGTCAAAGAGAAAGAAAAAGAGAAAGAGGGTTGGATTTTAACAAGCCCCTTTACAGAACGAAACAGATTTGAAGCTTTTTGACCGAAAGAAACGACGAGAATCACAGAGAAATTCAACGCCCTGATCTACATTTTCTTGCATATTCTTTCCTTTTCTTGTTTTGACTCCGAATTTCACAGAGGGAGACGGAAAAAGGCTGAAATGCGAGAGAGAGAGAAAGAGGGGTTTTGTATTGAGTTTTGTTCGCTTTTTCCTGAATTTGTGAGGGCAAAATAACAGAACAGAACAGAACAGAACAGAAACGCACTCACAAAGCCACAGCAACGGATGGTGGGAGAACTTGAAAAACCAACGCCTTTAATACAACCGGACGGCTCATTTTAGCATTGCCGGGGAACTGGGGGCTGCTCAGTCGTTGTATTCACCCGTCTTATTCTTCCAGCGCACGCTAGATGGTGATTCCTTTTTAGTGGGGTGTCTTTGTAATATCTTTTGCAATAGATGGCGAAAAAAAAACTATTACAGCAATTCTTCTACGTTAGATGACCTCTTAAAATAAACTTTTAATACAAAAAATGTCAAAAAAAAACATGTCAGAATTATGTTGGTCTGTGAAAATAATTTATAAAAAAAATGTAAATATATTTTTGGTGGGGGTACATTCACCTTGTGTGTAAGTGTCAAAAATAAAAGTGGCAAACAAGATGATGTTTATGGAAAGAAAATGCTCCCTTGAAGAAGAAAAAAAAAACCTTTTTCTTTTGTTGGACAAAGGGCATATGAATGCTCGTTTGACGTCTTTTTCAACCATGATTTTATAGTTTATAAAAGTTGTCGTGATTCCATTGTTAACATGGTGTACTTTTTTTTTCGGTAGCTCAATCATAAAAAGTTCATAGTTAAGCGTGTTTTAGTTCGAGCAAATCTGTTGGACAACCTTATAAAAATTTCACTAAGGTTTATATGGATGAGAATAAAACATGCTGAAATAAGTCATGTTACAAGAGAATGTCGAAGTCATCATGTGTTATTTTTTTTTAAGGTTTTTATTTTAGCTCGATGTTGTAGTTATTTCAACAATGTTGGATGGGCCGACATCGTTTTGGGAATCCCATGATGTGTGTTTTAAGAATGGGTGATATTGTGGGATTTTTGCTATTCATTTCCAATCATTTTTTTTATTTTTTATTTTTTATTTAATTTTGTTTGTTCCCTTCTGGGAGAGGAAGTGATTATAGGGAAAAAGAAAATCTACTTTTTGTCATGAATAATTAGGAACAAAACAAAATAATGTCAAAAAAGGAATGCCTTTTTCAAGAATAAAAGAAAATTCAAAAAAGTTAATGTATGATTTCATCGAGCTGTTATTGTACTCGGTTCTTTTAAAAAAAAAAATTGTTCTATTGGTACGAGGTCTGTTGGGAAGCTCAAAAGTAAAGCCACGAGAGATTATCATACCATTGTGAGATCGTGATTCCTAACATGGTATCAAAGTCATGCCTTGAACTTAGTCATGTCAATAGAATCCTCAAATGTCGAACAAAGAATGTACTTTGTTCGAGAGCTTAAGATAAGGAATCGAGCCTCGATTAAAGGGAGGTTATTCGAGAGCTCCATAGGCCTCAAGGAGGCTCTATAGTGTATTTTGTTCGAGAGGAGGATTGTTTCATCAGTACGAGGCCTTTTAGAGAAGGCACGAGAGTTTATGATCAAAATAAATAATATCATACTATTGTAGAGAGTTGTTAATACTGTTCAGAAAAAGAAACCAAATGATAAGAAAGATAAGTAATTGAAAATCTGATGCTATCAATTGCGCCTAAAAAAATACTCAATTTGTCCAAAGTGATTTCATTTACAATCATTGCATTTTCTTTTTTCATCGATTTTAATACCTAATTTATTCCTCAATTTTCACCATTTTTTTTTTTTTTTGTAATTTTTGTAAGTTTTAGCACTTGAAACGGACTAAAAAGATCACTCGATGCATATTTCTTTTTGTTTTCACTTAGATTGTGAGGATAATTTTCATTCTTAGAAACGAGAATTAGGTAACCTGACCATGTTGCAAGTGAATATCAAGGTCGGGTCAGTATATTGTCAAATCCAAATTTGAGTCTAGGCGCGAGTCATCAAAAAAATAGGTCAAATTATCAATTTTTATGTCGGTGCACATTGCTAAATAAAATTTATAAAACTCTAGTAATATTAATATTATTATAACCGAGATAAAGATACACAATTTACTAAAAGGTCAAAGGTTCGAATCTTTAGATTCGGTAGCTTAAATTTTCACTAACACGTAATCTACCAGACAGAGTCGTAAGTCTTGATACTCATGAATGCAACTTTGATATCTCTCTCCAATGGTCATTCGGTCAATTTCGATATCAATTATATGTCAAAATGGAAGACCTATTTGAAAATCAAACTTTCCATAATGCATATTTGTGACATTAGTGGCCATACCTCCAAAATAGTATCAGTCTCTTCTCTAGTACTCTCGATATTTTAATATATTCAATTATTATTTCAAGAGTTGATGGTTCGATCCTCCTTGTATAATTGTTGTATACTCAATGCCAAGAAATAATTTTTTCACGTAAGTGCAAAAAAACCACTCCATTTCGGAACCGCTCTAGAACACAACGAAATGCGCTAGTTTCGCAAAATTCAGTTCCCAACCATCGAGTTGGGGCATTTCCCACCACAATGTCAAGAAATTATTTTTTTTCGCATAAGTGGGAAAAAAACCGCTCCATTTCGAAACTGCCCTAGAACACAAGCAAAAACGCGTCAGTTTCACGTTTTGAAATTTAAAAAAGTTTCTAATAAGTTGTTAAATTTTCAATTTTATATCTAATAACGTTAGAATTTTCACTTTTGTATCTAATAATTATTATTTTATTGAAAACAAAGTTTTCTATAATTTTTATTATTAGAAAAATTATATTAAGATATTTCAAAGTAAATTCATTTAAAAATGTTTTTTTTTTTTAATTTTTATGGAAACAAAACTTTATTATCTATAATTTGAAAATTAATCTAAATTTTACCAAATATATATATATATATATATATTTAAGTATACAACCCTAGCAGTAGCTGTTTTTCGTTTCCCTCTAATTTCCCTCCGAGCATTAAGCATTAGCCAGGCGGAGTTCGTAGCTATGGTGGAACTCCAAGATGAGCTCCTTCAAGTCTTCGTCTCTCTAACCCGGCGGAACTCTAAGCTCGTTGACGGCGCTACAACATTGATCGTGCTCCACCTCCATCCCTTCCGGTACTGTTTCTACTCTCCTCATCTTTCGAATTTCATCCGCCATTGCTACTAGTAGAAATCGATTCAACTCTTTAACGGCGAATTCTTTCAATCCAAATGGTTCCCAAGACTGTAGCCTCCGCTATTTCTTCCTCTCTTTCGCCAGCTCCGTCGAAAGGCAAGCTCTCGTCTCTGTTTACTCGCCCACCAATAATTGCATCTTCAAATCCCCAAAATCCATCTCCAATTCCTGCCGAATCCCCGCCTATCATCTCGAAACCGCCAAATTCGAATGTTTCACCGGAAGTTTCGCTGGAAAAGTCAACCACAGAGATTTCGTTTCATGGACGGCTTCGGACGTTCCTTCAGAATTGCAAGACGGGTAATTTTACCGTATCAGAAGCATTGCAATTTTTTGACCTAATGATGCTTGCGAATCCTACCCCTGCGATGTCTTCATTCAATCTTTTACTTGGTGGACTTGCTAAGACTAAGCACTACTCTGAGGTTTTGAAGCTGTATTATAGAATGAGCTTAGCCGGACTTTTGCCTAATTACATAACGCTTAATATTTTGCTTAATTGCCTTTGTAATGTGAATCGGATTAGCGAAGGTCTAGCAGCCATGGCGGGGATTATAAGGAGAGGTTTTATTCCCAATATAGTGACATATACGTCCCTGATTAAGGGCTTGTGTATGGAGCATAGGATTAGTGAAGCTACGCGGCTGTTTATGAGAATGCAAAAGTTGGGTTGTAGGCCAAATGTGATTACTTATGGGACTTTAATCAAGGGACTTTGTCAAACGGGTAATACTAACATTGCACTTAAGTTGCACGAGGAAATGCTCAATGGGACTGGTCGATACGGCATTAGTTGTAAGCCTAACGTTATTTCTTATAGTACCATTATTGATGGGCTCTGTAAAGATGGGCGGGAAGACAAGGCAAGGGAACTTTTTGAGGAAATGAAAGCTCGGAGAATGCTTCCAGATGTGATTTCTTACAGCTCTTTGATTCATGGATTTTGCAATGGTGGAAAGTGGGAGGAGGCTAAATGTCTGTTCAATGAGATGGTGGATCTTGGTATTCAACCAAATGCTGTCACATTTAACGTCTTGATGGATATACTTTGCAAGGCAGGAAAGGTTATCGAGGCCAACGAGTTGCTAGAGGTGATGATTCAGAGAGGTAATGTTCCTGATTTGTTTACTTATAATACATTGATGGATGGGTTCTGTTTGGTTAGTGATCTAGACAGTGCAAGGGAACTGTTCCTTAGTATGCCAAGTAAGGGGTGTGAACCTAATGTGATTAGCTACAATGTGCTAATCAATGGGTATTGCAAAAATTGGAAGGTGGAAGAAGCAATGAAGATTTACAATGAAATGCTTCAAGTGGGCATTAAACCATCTATGATAACATATAATGCCTTGCTAACGGGTCTTTTTCAGGCCGGGAAGGTTAATGATGCAAAGAAAATATTTGGTGTCATTCAAGCTCATGGTTTGGTGCCGAGTTCAAGTACATTGAGTATCTTTGTAGATGGGCTGTGTAAGAACGATTGTTTGTTAGAAGCAATGGAAATTTTTAACGAGCTTTCATACAACTTGAAATTGGACATTGATATCTTTAATTGTCTTATCGATGGCCTATGTAAAGCAGGGAAACTTGAAACAGCTTGGGAGTTCTTCGACAAAATTTCCCGTGAAGGGCTTCTGCCAAATGTTGTGACCTATTCCATTCTAATCCATGGGTGTTGTAAAGAAGGACAAGTAGAAAAGGCAAATGATTTATTTCGAAAGATGGAAGAAAATGGTTGTACGCCCAATGTAATTACCTACAACACACTTCTCCGTGGTTTCTACAAAAGTAATAAACGAGAGGAAGTGGTTGAGCTTCTTCATAGGATGGTTAAGAAAAATGTGGTGCCAGATGCTTCAACCTGCACCATAGTCTTAGACATGCTTTCCAAAGACGAAAAGTATAGGGGATGTTTGAACTTGCTTCCAACGTTTCCTGTCCAAGAGTATCGAGGTTGATGACAACAATTCAGAAATATCTATCGACTGATAAGGGATTATGGCTTGAAATTTCAGATAAGCTTGATAATCAGAGCGTAACGTTTGGAAATTCGAAGCTCTGTTGGTTTCCCTTGTTGCATTGATGTGTAGCAGCTACCCATAAGTTGAGCAAATTTTGAGTTCTCATGATGAACTTGCTTTGACTTCTGCCTCATGCATACATGTCTAACCCCAGCCAGGTGTTCTTGGCTGTAAGCAAGGTTCATTATTCTACTAGATCTCTCATTCATAATAGTCTAAAGGCAAAGCCACCTTAAGGTCTTTGATCATCACAAGTTTGAAGAGACTACTTTTACTGAGTTAGATATATAGTTGTGAAGCCAACTTCTTATGGGTTCGAACGTTTTGGCTGCCGACTTAAGATGTTGAATATCTCGTAACTTTGTTAGACTCCTATAACTATAAGCTCGAGTGGAGGAACATTAATGTCATGTTCAATGTCTACAACTCGCAGTCGTGCTCTTTTGCTTTAGGTTCTAGAAGTCTCGAAATCAATCCATTCAGATAGAAACTTGGAGTTAAGAGCACCTGGTTTAAAAAGAAAAGCTTCAATCAATCAACAATCACACAAGGAAAAGATTCAGGGTGAAGACAGAAAACAGAATGACCCAGCAACTTCTTCCCCTCAGGTATAATAAGGGTCACAGGAGCTCTATTTCCATTATCCTTTGACATACTGACATATAATGAAAGATTTTTTGAACATATTGCCTAATGGGTAAATTCTGTGGCCATGATTTGAGCCTTTCATTCAGATTATCTGCAAATATTCAGTTCAGCACGTGTACTGCTTCACTAGAACATGGCCTCTTTTGTTTTCTACTCTCTGTTCCTTGATATGAAAGAGTGGAGAATATTTCCTCTGTTCTTAATGATCTAACAATTTAGGTTCAAATTTAGATCTTATGAACTTCTATAAGATCTGTTTGTCTCTGAATTTTTTTTAATAATCATTTTGATTTTTATGATAGGTAAATAACGTCGAAGCCCGAAGGTATATTAACGGGTTGATGTGACCAAGAGCTCGCATTGAAGCTATATAGAAGGTTGAAGGTAGCAGGTAATATGAGGTATGTAAGGTATATATTAAATTGTTTTAAATTTATATGATTTAAATTACAATATTGTGTTAAATCTAGATGTTTTTATATTTTGATAGGAAAAAATCATTGCTATAAAAAAAAATGGAAATTTTAAAAATTCAAAAACTAAAATTAATATATTTTTTAATCTTATTTATGAAATTTAATGTTTTTATTATATGAAATCTGTATTTTATAAAAATAGTGATAATTATATGAATGTGGACATAAATTATTATATATAAAAAAGATACCATTTATGTAACAAGGGTTGATTAGATATAAAGGCAAAATTGTTCCCATAAATAAAAACAAAAACTTAATACTATAATTTTAATTTAATTAGACTAAGGAGATAATACATGATTGACTTTTGACCATAATGAATTAAAATTCAATCTTTGTTTCATAGGCTTTCACTTCTTTTTAGAAATAGCATTTTTTTATGACCAAATTGGACATAATAATACCAAATCCAATTAATAATAACAATATGAGAAAAGACAAAATGGCCTCAAAATTCAACCATAAATAATTGTTTTAAGTAGACATAGATCAAACAAAAATCTTTCACAATCTATTTTATAACTATTTTATTCTTACAAAACTATATTTATTTTGTGTGTTTTTAATAAAGAAATATTCTTGAATCCAACTTTGCCCCTATTGTAAATTCACAACAATTAAAGGGTATTTTTGGTATGTGTTTACGACTTTCCTAATTAGATGATAGTCAAAAATAAAATTTTGTTCTCAAAATAAACAGTAAATAAATAAATAAATGAGGGGTAAAATTGGGAATATGAAGTGAATCCATCCCATTTTACAAAATAAAAACATTAGGAAAAGACTAATATAGTCAACGGTTTAGGGACCCATTGGGTCCCACGCACTGTCAGTCAGTCACCGACTACCAATGCACTGTGATTTTCTCTTCTCCTCACCCATTGCGTAAGTTAGCAAATGCTATTTTTTTAAGCTAAATAAATAAATAGAAAAGGCAAAAAGTTCTTTTTTTTTTTTAAAAAAAAAGCGCAACAGTCAAAACTGCACTTTGAGCTACGTGTCAGCCCTTTAAAGCTGCAAGTATTACACGTGGCATATTCTGATTGGTTTGCTTTTACAAATTGCTACTCTCTTCATTTCCTCGTGCCCAAATTGTGGGCCCCACTCTTGGTAGGCGTTTCCAGTATTTTTTTTTTTTTAAATCATTTTTATATAAAAAGTATTATTATTATTTAATCAACTCATTATTAATTTGGTTAAATACTTAAAATTATAATTTATATTTATATTTAAAAAAGATAGAATCATTTTAATCATTTTAAATTTACTAAACCCTAATTTAAAAACATATTAAATACAAAATTAAAATATAAATATTAATTTATATAAAATAGTGTAAATGGTGGGGCCCACGTGGAAATCCGAGACAAAGACGGCAGTTTCATTTCTCCCCTTCCTGTTTCGTCTTCCTCATCCATCTGCTTCTCATCATTTCAATCAATTTTTCCCAAAAATTCTCCATTTCTTCCCCCTTTTCCCTCTCTATTTCTTTCTCTCACTTCCCACTTCTTCTCTCTCTAGAAAACCATCTCTTCTGAAGCCAAAGAGAGACAGAGATGGATGGATGGATGGATGATTTGCGCTTTCTCTTCTTTTGGGTCTCTCAGATTTCGCTTCAGTTTATACTTTAATCATAGCAATGGCAGAAGAATCTAGTGTTCCTATCCTCTGTTTCTTCATCGCCTTTTTCTCTTTTATTTTCTTTGCCCCCATTATGCTTGATTTCAGCTAGGGCTTTTGGAGTTCGAGATTTCGCCCATTTGGGAAGATGGAAGAGGTTGAAGATGCTAATAGGGAAGCTGTTGAGAGTGTTCATAAAGTATTGAATCTGTTGACTGTGACATCGCCTCAAGATCAGTCGAAGATTACGCGTTGTTTAATGACGGAAACTGGAGAGGCTGTGTTTAAGTTTAGGAAGGTTTTGTGTCTTCTTGATTCTGTTGGGTTGGGTCATGCAAGGGTCAGGAAAAAGAAGAAGATCATGAACTTTCATCTTGATTCCTCGCCTTCCCAATCAATGTTCTTAGAATCTTCTTCCCCTAATTGCAGAATGGACCTTCTCCAGGGGAGGAATTTGCAGATGGGTCCTCACCCATCTTTGGAATTGAACTCAAATGCCAAAAACTGTTCAATCCAACAGATTCAACCTCAATCTGCTGCTGTTTATCATCATCTGCTTCAGAACAGGGTGTTGTTGAATACTCAGCAGCCTGAAATGGGGTATCTTAGGAGCAATAGTGGTGTTAACTTGAATTTTGATAGCTCTAGCTGCACACAACACACAATGTCATCCACTAGGTCGTTTATGTCTTCCTTGAGCATTGATGGGAGTGTGGCAAACTTGGATGGGAGTGGCTTTCATTTGATCGGGACGCCTCGGTCTTCCGATCAGAATTCACGCCATAAAAGGAAGTGTTGTAGGAGAGGGGAAGATGGGAGTGTTAAATGTGGAAGCAGTGGGAGATGTCATTGCTCAAAGAAGAGGTTGGGAAGTTTTGGTTTTGTTAATGATATCGTTTCGATACCGAAATGGGGACGGTTTGATATGTTTTTCTGATTCGATTTTGATGATCTTCTTGCAGGAAACATAGAGTGAAGCGGTCGATCAAGGTGCCTGCCATTAGTAACAAGCTTGCTGATATCCCTCCTGATGATTTCTCATGGAGGAAATATGGCCAAAAGCCAATCAAGGGCTCTCCTCACCCGAGGTATATGAACATCCTTCCACTACTTTTTAGTTTATTGTGCTGATGTTGGATAGTTCATTATAGATTGATATTGGGATTATATGCATTTGGCTGCCATTACTATATGAGTTCATTGGTTGAAAGATGTCGATTATATTCCTTATCTGGTAATCTAGTAGGGATATTGAAAACTTGCTCTATTAGTTTGTGCCTCATGTTCTCTAAGTAGATTAGTCCATTGAATTCTTCACCGACATGGGGTGAGGCCATTTTGTGTGTTTATAAATCGAGCAGGAATCATTTGTTAGGAATCACGACCCTCCACAATGGTATGATTTTCTCCCCTTTGAGTATAACCTCTTGTGACTTTGCTTATGGCTTCCCCAAAAAGGTTTCATACCAATGGAGATTTATTCCTTATTTATAAACCCAGGATCAACCCCCTAATTAGCTAATGTGAGACTCCTCTTCCAACAATCCTCCCCTCGAACAAAGTACACTATAGAGCCCCCCCGAGGCCTATGGAGCTCTCGAACAACCTCCCCTTAATTGAGGCTCGACTCCTTCTTTGGAGTCCTCGAACAAAGTACACCCTTTGTTCAACACTTGAGTCACTTTTTACTACAATTTCAAGAGTCCCAACTTCTTTGTTCGACATTTGAGGATTCTATTGACATGGCTAAGTTAAGGATATGGCTCTGATACTATGTTAGGAATCACGACGCTTCATAATGGTATGATATTGTCCACTTTGAGTATAAGCTTTCATGGTTTTGGTTTTGGCTTCCCCACAAGGCCTCATACCAATGGAGATGTATTCCTTACTTATAAAATCCGTGATCAACGTGGGATTCCTCTTCCAACCATCCTCAACATCTTTCTTGTTCATATGTTAGCGATGCATTATGTACTGTATGCATTTTGCAAATTCTTTTAACATGGCTATTGAAACTTGGTTGATGAAATTTGTAAGAGCAACCAGAGTTCCACAGATTCTCCATGATTTGATATCGTCGATATCCATCTTAATTTACTCTCAAACGTCTGCAGAGGATACTATAAGTGCAGCAGCATGAGAGGTTGTCCAGCAAGGAAGCATGTCGAGCGGTGTCTCGAGGAACCTTCAATGCTCATCGTTACATATGAAGGTGAACACAACCATCCCAGAATAGCTTCTCAATTCCCAAATACTTGAACCCCATCAAGACTACTACCCGAAAAGGATTCGAAAACCTCCACGAAACATAGCGGAACTCGAGAGTTGCTGTACATATGGAAGAAGAATACTTATGGAGCTCTGCATTTTAGCTCTTTTGAGGAGGTGGGTTTACTTGCAAAACCCTGTTTTAATCACATCTGGCAATTCTGAAGCTCAGAGAATTTTGTAGATTAGGGTGTGAATGTAAAATCTTGAAGAACTCTCATCCTTCTCTACAATTACTGCTTCGAACAGCTTTATTATTCTAAATTAATGAAGAAGTCTCAAGAGCATTTTTCTTTACGTCCTTGAACCGATGATGTTTAACCGACAACATGATCAACTTTACAAATGTTTTATAGTTAAGTCGGTTCGTTTATATATAGGAATTTTTCTAGTACGTCGAGAATATGGATTTACTTTTTATTAATTGTCCGTCACATCAATATCATTATTAAAGAAAGAGTATGACATAAACATAATCATCGTGGTGATTAAGGAACGATTGATATTTTGAGCCTTTTTGCGTGGTTTGCTAACTAGGTCAGTTCTCGTGGCTCTCGACATGTCGGGATGCCTTCCCCTTCCCAAATTTATATTTAGGAATCCATTTGGATAGAAAAGAACGGAAACTAGTAAAATTGTCACATGTCCAAACTCAGCCCATCATTCCACTCGACTCGTTTTATTAGAGACTCAAAAACTCTCAAATTTTTAGTTGAAAATACGTCTTAACCACTCATCAATACTCGAGTCGGTTAATATATTAAATTGTAACAAGATAACATCTTCTTATTCAAAAGTCCCATCTAAACCACTTCGTTTGTTTTGTAGTAATGCAAGATGCCTATATTCTAGGATGCCCTTCTAAGGTCGTCTTCTTCTCACTTTTTTGCCCTACTTCATTTCGATTGTGCACCCGTTCAGAAAAAATATCATTTCAAATATGATGATGATTCATTAATTAAATTATAACTTTCTACCATATTAAGATTTTTAATTCAGTAATTACCGTCTACTTCCCTTACTTTGTTACTTATCAGTTAAACTATATTTAAGTTGATTTTAAATTTCGATATTAAATTAAATTAATAAATATATAAATTTTTAATTAAATATTTTATATAAATTAAATTATATATTAATTTTTTTAAGTGAAATAAATATAAAATAATACTTCGCCAACGTGCACTGGTATAATTTAATTTAAAGTCTAAATAAAGAATTAACAATAATAATAAAATGACAGAAAACAAAATTGTAAAAAAAAAAAAACCGTTGAATTTTAAAGTGGGCCCGGCCGTAACGGAATCTCCAATGACAGCTGGACTTGCCTCACCATCCATCACAGCCCTCCATTTTTTTTTTCTTTTTTTAATTTAAAAATCTCGATCCTTTATTAATTTAAATTACTTTTTTCATGTTTTTTTAATTCAATCAACGGTAGAGATTTAAATCATCAACTTGAAAAATAAAATTAGAGAAAAAATATTTGTAAGAAAGAAAAAAATATATATAAACTTTAAAGATTAAAAAAAAAAGTTAAATAAAGTAAGAATTTTTTAAAAATAGAATAAAGTAAAAAAAATACAATAATTATGAACAAGAAAAAAAATATATATAACCTACGTGTCATACCTTCTCAGTTCCAATACACTTTCGTCGTTAATGGTGCACGTTTTTTAAGTCTTAAAAAAAAGAATAACACAAATGAATATAAAAATATGATCGGTAAATAACTCGTTTGTAGACTTATAATTAAACATTAATTAGAGTAATATATCGGTGATATATATATATTAACGAAAAAAATTTGTGAGTAATATCCAAAATTAGTAAGGTAATTTAAGGAAGGACAATAATTTTAATTTTTGATAATTATGGAGAAGTAATAATATTGTTATTAATATCTGATAAATGTTATTATCATCATAAGCGCCGCCACTGTCCGACTCGGTGCAGAGTACAAAATTACAAAATTTTAAATTATTTTACCAAAAAAAGAAAAAGAAAAAGAAAAAACTTGTCACAGAAAACTCACATACAGAAGCAGCCGAACATGGCGGAGAGCAAGCTTCTTGTTCTTTCTTTCTCTCTCTCTCTAGAACCGGCCTGCAATTGAAGAACAAGAAGAAGAAGAAGAGGAAGACGGATATTATTACGCTTGATCCACTTCTCTTTTCTTTGATATTTCGAATTCTTGAAGTAATCCGTTGATTTGATTCTTCCTCCATTGGCAGCCAGTTTGAAATTTGTTCTTGTATGGTTCTTCTGAGGAATTTTGCGACGGGATCCTCTGTTGGAGGGCGGCGTTGATGAAGCTTCTTCGTCGATGTCTGAGGATTCTGATCCTCTCTCTGCTCTCTGTCTCTGTTTTTGCTCCTTTGGTTCTCGTTTCTTACCGCCTCAAGACCATCACTTCTATTGGTTCGTTTTGATTTTCTCCTCGTATGTTCTTGATTACTGAGTGTAAGATGAAGACCGTGGGTTTTGGTTTTGGATTCGATGTCTTCCTTTGTTGAGTTTTGGTTTGATTGATTTATTTCGTTGTTTGTTTTGATTTAGGGCGGAGGGAGTTCATCGATGACTTATGGAGCAGGGTATGGCTGTTTTTCTTTCAATTCTTGTGTGGGTTTTGTTTGTGGATTCTGTTTTTATGCATTGGAAATCTGTTTTTCGATTTTTTGGTGAGATATTTTCAATCATATGCGATGTTTGTGGTAAATATGAATGCTATAAGAAGATTGAAGGCGGTTCTTTTTGTTTTTGTTCTCTGGAGAGAAGCCAAGAGATGTTGAAGCACTTAGCTCAATGGAACAGGTACTCTTACATACTACTTAAGTTTGCCATGCTCTGAACTTTGTGGATAGTGATTTTGATCTGTACTGGCATTGTCATGAAGGAAGCGGGCGAGAGCTTGAAAGGACCTAGACCTATTGTTTTCAAAGATAATGATTTTCAATCTAGAGAAGGAATTAACTCCCTTGAATTTGGTATGTGTTTTTTCTTGTGCCTTATTTGTCTCCTGCAGTTCTTATTTCTCTTATTTATGTTGCTTTGTTCTGGGCTACTCCTTCTGAACTTCAGGAAGTAATCCCAGCAAAGAACATAAGGATAATCGGTTTGAGGATGAAGGGGAAAAGGTACTTTGTTCTACAAATCGTGTTGATTCTCTCTTGGCTATGAACTAATAATTGGAACTTATCTCCTTCCAAATGATATTTTGGATGTATATATGTGGTATTTGGCTATATTTAGGGTGTAATTCCTTGGTTGGGTATATTAGTTGTAACAACCCGAGTCTACTACTAGTAGATATTGTCCGCTTTGGCTCATTACGTATCGCTGTTATTCTCACGGTTTTGAAACGCGTCTACTAGGGAGAGGCTTCCACGGCCTTATAAGAAATGCTTTGTTCCCCTCTCCAACCGATGTGGGATCTTACAATCTGCCTCCTTTGTAGGTCAACGTCCTCACTGGCACACTGCTCGGTGTTTGGCTCTAATACTATTTATAACATCCCAAGCACACCGCTAGTAGATATTATCCGTTTTGGCCTGTTATGTATTGTCGTCAGCCTCACAGATTTAATAGAGAGAGGTTTTCATGCCCTTATAAGAAATGCTTCGTTCCCCTTTCCAACTAATGTGGGATCTCACAATTCACCTCCCTTGGGGGCCCAACGTCCTCACTGGTATATCGCCCAGTGTCTGGCTCTGATACCATTTGTAACAACCCAAGCCCACCGCTAGTAGATATTGTTCATTTTGACCCGTTACGTATTGTCGTATCATTCATGAACAACTTCCTCTTATAGCTTCTTTTTCTTTGTTCCTCGCTTAAGTTGTTTTTTCGTCCCCATCTGAACCATTAGAAGCACATATATCAGCAAAATTAGCATTAGTATTGATTCTTTAGCATGTATGAACTAAGTTCACCTGCAAATTGGTTCTAAATTTTGATTGCAGAATAATTCTTATAAGGCAACCGGACAACATGATCGGGGTGCTGTCAAGCGTGATAAGAATGCACGCATACCCCAGTCTAGATCAGTAGATTATAAGGTAAAGGAGATGACAGATCAACTGATTAGAGCCAGAGTCTACCTAAGTTTCGCCCCACCAGGTAGCAATTCTCATTTGACGAAAGAGTTAAGGCAACGAATCAAAGAGTTAGAACATGCAGTCGAGGAAGTTACTAAGGATTCAGCTCTGACAAAGAGGTAAATAGTGGAAAGTTATGTGCAGATTTTGATTAGAACAGAAATCTAAAGCAGTGAAACTTCACCTGAAATGCTGTTAAATTTACAGTGCTTTGCAGAAAATGAAGAACATGGAGTCTTCATTAGTAAAAGCAGGCCATGCTTACCCAGACTGCTCGGCAATGTCTTCAAAGCTTCGAGCTATGACAGACAATGCTGAAGAGCAAGTTCGTATGCAAAAGAAACAAGTTACTTATCTTGTAAATCTTGCTGCAAGAACCACCCCTAAAGGCTTTCATTGTCTATCAATGCGACTGACTTCTGAATACTTCGCTTTGCCGCCACCTTCGGAGAGGGAGCTGCTTGAACAGAAAAAGTTGCTTCATGATACTAAGCTCTATCATTATGCTGTCTTCTCCGACAATGTTTTGGCTTGTGCTGTTGTTGTCAACTCCACTGTTTCAAGTGCTAAGGTATAGCATTTAAAGCTCATTTAGCTCAAAATGTGCCATTTCTTGATTTGTACTGGGGCATTCTCCGATCGACGTTTCACTCCTTGCAACTGCTTTTCCCTGAACAACCTAATGGATCTACAACAATAACACAATGACAACCAAACCAACAACTGTGGTCCTCTCGGCAATGTCCGAAGGGTCCCCTTTGCACATTAGAAGATTTTTGTTAATTACGTTAACCCGTTCATTCTTTGAAAATATTTTCAGGAACCGGAGAGAATTGTCTTCCATTTGGTGACCAATTCATTGAACTTGCCAGCAATGTCCATGTGGTTTTCACTAAATCCTATGGGAAGAGCCACAGTTGAGGTCTTGAGAATGGAGGACTTTGAGTGGCTGTCCAGGGAGTATGATTTAGGATGGAAGGTGCACAATTTTAGTGACCCAAGGTTTACTTCTGAACTCAACTATCTTCGGTTCTATCTGCCAAATATCTTCCCTTCACTGGATAAGGTCGTAGTTCTTGATCATGATGTGGTGGTGCAAAAGGATTTATCTGGTTTATGGCACGTTGATATGAAGGGGAAGGTCAATGGTGCTGTTGAAACTTGTCAAGAAAATGAGGCTTCTTTTCTACGGATGGATATGTTTATCAACTTCTCAGATCCACTGATTGCTGATGAATTCGACAGTAAGGCATGCACATGGGCGTTTGGAATGAACGTATTTGATCTTAGAAGGTGGAGGGAAGAAAATTTAACTGCTCGCTACCATGAATATCTTCGACTGGTAAGAACATTGATGTAACTTGTTTGTAAAAATTGTTAGTCACTAACTACTTTTCAGTGTGATTCTATCGTGTTTAAGTTACAGTCCACCTCCCTTTGGGACCCAACGTATTCGCTGGCACTCGTTCCCCTATCCAATCGACGTGGGATCTCACAATCAACCCCTCTTCGTGGCCAACATCCTTACTGGCACTTATTCCTCTCTTTAATCGATATGGGATCTCACAATCCACCCCCCTTCAAGGCTCAGCGTTCTCATTGGCCCTCATTCCTCTCTCCAATCGATGAGGGATCTCACAATTTTGTCCTCTTCGGACTTTCTCTCTCGGGCTTCCCCTCAAGGTTTTTAAAACGCGTCTGCTTAGGATAAGTTTCCACACCCTTATAAATAATGTTTTGTTCCCCTCTCCAACCGATGTAGGATCTCACAATCCACCTCTCCTTCAAGGTCCAGCGTCCTCGTTGGCGCTCATTCCCCTCTGCAACCGATGTACAGATAACTTTAGAAACATGAAACTTGTCGTTTTTTGGGCTATGGTCTAGAATCTAACTTTACTTTCTGTTGGGTTTTTCTTAGCTTCTGGGGCTTTTTGGTCAGGCTTCTTAGCTTCTTTGATTTGCATTACTCTTTGAAAAAAGAACTTTTCAGATGCGCTTACTGTGTCCTACCATTCCTCACTGCTATACTCTTTGTTATAATGCATGCAGAGTAATGAACGGCCAATCTTGAAGGGTGGAAGCTTGCCTTTGGGGTGGGTTACGTTCTATAACCAGACTACAGCAGTGGAGCGGCGGTGGCACATGCTCGGACTCGGTCATGACTCTACTGTGCCACCAGACGATATCGAGAAGGCAGCTGTTATACACTACAACGGTGCTTGGAAGCCATGGTTAGATATTGGATTTGGCGAGTACAAAGGTTTATGGAGCAAACATATGGACTTCGACAACCCATACTTGCAACAATGCAACATCCACGGCTAATCAATAGCCATCAACAAACAACAAACAAAGCTTAGAGGTCAGTCATTTAGTTACTTTTTCTTACCATTCTTTCTACTTCTATAGCAATTCTTCATGTAAATTGAAACTCATTCGTCCCCCTCCCCCCATTCCTTCATGTAGCTAAGTTGAATCATAGAAATGATTGAAAATAAGACATTCCACCTTTTGGTTTGGTTAGCCCTTTATATATAAAGGAATTGGCAGCTTGTTCGGTTCTGATTCTGCCTTTGATGAGTTTCAATATGTATTTTGATGATAACATATTTCATTATGCCTAATTTTGAGTGTTTTGAACTAATCTATAGTGTAGATATTAGCGTCAGGCACCAAGCGGTGTGCTAGCGAGAACGCTGGGCCGCCAAGAGGGATGGATTGTGAGATCCCACGTTGGTTAAGATGAGAAGGAAGCATCTCTTGTAAGAATGTAGAATCCTCTCCCTAGCATACGCATTTCAAAAACTTGGAAAGTTTAAAAAGTATAATATTTATTAGCGGTGGGCTTAGGCTATTACAGTAAAGCTTAAAAAGACTCCAACCAATGAATCATTGACAAAAGACATCAAATGAAAAAAAATAATTGAATCGCTCAAATTGCTTAAAAGATATTTAAAAAAAGCTATGGATGCTTACGTCTAACCTCGAGACTTATATCTTCTTTGAATCATACAAGAGGCTTATGCCTTTGTTAAAGTGCATTGCTGTTTAAAATCTCTATGTTTTGTTTCGATTATAATTATGAACTTACTAAGAGGTAATCTTGTTGCTTATTCATTATATTAACGAGTTCTTGAACGTTATAAGTTATTAGATCTTTTTTTGAATTCAACACAATGTTCGAGGTGAAAAAAATTGAATATTTGATCCCTCGATCAAGAGTATACATTTTAATCGGTTGAACTATGCTTCAAACGATAACAAGTGAGTAGACTTATTAATGACAAATGTACGACCAAATAAAATTGAGTTTCAAACATAATACCTCGACGGGTTGAACTATATTTAATTCCGTTATAATTATTATTTTTATTTATTTATTTTCTAAGTAAAAAGACATCAAAAGTGGAAGCATCTTATGAAAGAACACATGAGAGTGAAGTTTTAGCAAAATCTCAGTTTGGACATTTTGGGAGTCCACGTAGGAGTAAGCTATTGGCTAGAAATGGATGACGGACACGTGTACAAACCCAATTGGCCAGAAGTAGATAAGGATATCAAGTGAATGGCTTCCCCCTATCCAGCTTTGTGTGGTTGCCACTCAACACAAACAAATAATATTAACAAACCCTTTGATCGCCACTCCCCAAATTGCGTTTTCCCCCCATTTTCCTCCCAAAGTTCAAGAGCAAAACAAGCAAATGGCCGCCGTCACCTCCGCCGCCGCCGCCACCGTGCGCTCTTCTCTGGTTCAGAACCGCCCCCTGCCGGCGGCTTCACCCTCCCCATTCCTTCTTGGTGGGTTCTTTTGTTGCTATGCTCTTACGGTTATATTTTAAGCTTTTGAATGGTTAGCCCGTGATGTTAGAACTTGACTCGATGAATGAATCAATTTATAATAGAATTGGCTTTAGATTCAACATGGGTTCTCTTTAGATCGATTTTTAACGGACAATTAAACGAGAACCATTTAGATCGATGTTATAGAAGTTGAAATATACACTAATAGTCGTTTAATCGAGTTTTTTTGGTCACCTCGTTGATGTAGGGTTGCCTGCTTTGGGAAAGAAAGGAGGAGTTAGGTGTTCTATGGAAGGGAAGGCAAATGGAGATGTAGAAAACAAGTCGAGCACCTTAGGGATGGGCGCGTCGTTGGTAGCTGCGGCTTACGCTGCGTCGATGTCGAGTCCAGCCATGGCTTTGGTGGATGAGAGGCTGAGCACTGAAGGGACTGGTCTTCCATTTGGTTTGAGCAACAATCTTCTCGGTTGGATTCTTCTTGGCGTGTTTGGCTTCATATGGGCATTCTACATTATTTACACTTCTACTCTCGAAGAAGACGAAGAATCGGGCTTATCTCTTTAGGTCATACTTGTCTGTCTTATTATTGTTGTTGTTGTAGATCGTTGTGTGGATATTCGCCTCTGGCTTGAATCGTATAACCTTTTGAGTTCGTGTCGTTGAAGCTGAAGCAAATTGGCTAAAAACTACTATATTTCATACATATCTCGACAAAGAATAAATGTATTTTATCATGGTAAAGTGAATGTGCTATGAGGATGGATTTTGTTAGACGGTATGATATTGTTCACTTTGAGCATAAGCTCTCGTGGCTTTGCTTTGGGCTTCCCCAAAATGCCTCACTCCAATGAAGTTAGTATTCCTCACTTATAAACCCATGATCACACCCTAAATTAGTCGATGTGGGACTTCCACCATCCAACAGATTTTAACTTTTTTCGAAAGAAGTCATCACGTTTTTCCATTTTTCTAGATCGTTCACATTTTCAACACCGATTTATTTCACTAAATTAACCTCGAGCAATTTATGGGTTATCCAATTTTTTGCTCTTAGTTTACTCGTTGTTTGTCAACAATGAATTTATCTCACAGTGTTTGTTAATGACACCCAAGTGAAAGAGAAACACATGAATGAACTGAGATCACATTTGAATGAGAGTGATCTTGAGGAATGCCAAGGTCAAACATGTTTTGTTTGGAGCAACATTGAAGACAAAACATACTAAAATAACTCAAGTCGATCTTCGAGAATAGTTTTTACTCTTAAAAATAAGGGGTAACTTAACTATATCGCCGGAGATTGCTCGGGCTATTAAGTGCCCATATTGTAGGGGATTGTCCGAGCTATTAAGTGTCGAATCCGAATTCCAAATACTAATTTGGATCTAGACGAGCACTCATATATTTTTCATTAAAAAAGTAAATATAAAAATTTATATGGTTATTTTCATGCGTGTAAAGATAAAAGGTGACAGGGATGGAGTATAAGAGCTAGGGAGAAAAAGTGGCACGTGCGAAGGTAGTGAAGTACCCAAACTACCCTCTCAATGTGGCCGTTGAGCTGCGAAATTATCGCTGACATGTTTTGGCCCGATTTTCCCTTTTTTTTTTTTTTTATTACTTACCTAAATACTTCTATTTGTTATTATTGTGAAAAGGAAATTAATATGAAGAAATTATTGAATTTATATATATATATATAATGAAGGATATAGATTGGTACCGTCACATTAATTAGAAGTATAATTAGATATTTATTATTTAATCGGACTTCAAGATAAGTATAAAGACCAAAATGACCCTCAAAATAAAACGGACATCAAAATTTCATAAATAAAAAGAAAATAAAAAAGAGTGTAGTAACGGATAGATTGGGAGCGAATAGAAAAACAATAAAAAGAAGAAGCCCTCACGTGCCTTTCTCCAAACTCCAACTCATCGAAATCAACGGAAATGGGCAATTTCGTAATTTCACTAATACACGTTTCACCTATATATTTCATTTTCCCCGAAATCTTGCAAAATAAACGCGCGAAATCCCACCCAATCTCCCGCGCCTGTTCTTTCTCCCAATCCCCTCCGCCCCCGCCGCCGCTATGGAGCGCTTCCACCACCACCAAGGCGGGGCCACCACTAGTAACGCCACCAACTTCGATCTCAAGTGCGGCAAGAAGCGGGGCAGCTACAACTGCGGCAGATGTGGCCTCCCCAAGAAGGGTCATGTGTGTAACCTCACGCCCACAACCACTACCACCACCGCCATCACTTCCACTCCCACCACGGATTCTTGCAATTCTGCTCGTGGTTCCACCATCGACCACGCTTCTCATTCCCACCTCCGTCGCGCCCTCTCCTTCGACGAGGCCGACGATCTTCGCAGCGGCTTCCACTCCGACCTCGACGATGCTGACGAGGCGGAGCTTGGCTTCGATTATCCCGAAATTGATCAGGACGCCTCTGGATGTTTGCCTGCGAGTTGTCTTTGGGAGATTCTGAGGAGGCTGCCGCCGGCTGGGATTTTATCGGCGGCGAGGGTTTGTAAGGGCTGGAGAGAGACGACAAGGAAGATTTGGAAAGCGGCGGAGGTGTTGAGATTGACAGTTCCGTCTAGGGCTCAGGTTGGATTTGTTGGTTCGCTGTTGCAGAAGTATTCTAGACTTGTGACACTCTCGCTTAGATTGGAAAGGTTAGGGCTTTTGATCGGACTGTTTAGATCTATTGGTTCTGGTTACCATGAGTTAATGCGATAATGTGTTTAACTGAAATGTGAGAAACGAACTGGATCTGGATGTTGTTGAACTAAAAGTGACAAAAATTAAGTAGATGAAATGATTTGGGCTTTGATCTGTGATGAACTTGAGGACCTGATCCTTTTAATCCATGGTTTTTCATGGTAATAGAACTTGTAGTTGATGACTTCAGATTCTGATCAAATTTATCCACTGTCATACATGGGGTTGACTTTGATATCTTTGATCAGAAAATTTCCCCTAAATTTAGCTTGCAACTAGTACTTGCTAGCTAACTCTTTAAGTATTTATTTTACTTTGTGGCTTTATTTTCTCTAAAAATAAGGTTTATATGAAATTCTAGCAATCAACCTTAATGAATACTTGTAGGCAGTGTAGTTTTGAAGGTCTGATTGTTTTAACATATATATTTCTTGATGTAACAGCGACTTGGATTCGATGTTGTTGGCTTGCATTGCATTCTCATGTCCTAGCCTTGAAGTTCTGGAGATTACTAAGTCTCAATCATCAATTAATCGTATCACAGGGTAATTCAATATCTATGTGTCTTACTTTGTCCAGTACTGATTTATTTTATTTCTTCTTTTTGCTGATCCGTGTTTGTAAGTGACTGTGTGAAAGTGGTAAGATGAGAAGATTAGTGATAGCTGAAGTTCATGACAGAAAATGGATCCAATGACTGATGTTTTGGCCATTTCTTTTTATCTCTAATACTTTTTGTTGATCCATGATTATAATTGATTTGTGAAAGTGGTATGATGATGAGAATAGTGACAGCTGAAGTTCATAACAGAAAATGTTAGGCCATTTCTTTTTCTGATTTAATATACTTATTCTTTTTGTTGATCCGTGATTATAATTGACCTTGTGAAAGTGATGTGATGAAAAGTTTAGTGACAGCTGAAGTTCATAGCAGAAAATGTGATCCAATAACTGATGTTTGGCCTTTTTTTTAATTTCTAATATACAGTGGTGAACTTGGTCGTTTTGTTGCCGATAAACGATGTCTTAAGATTCTTAAGATGGAAGGTTGTTCTAGTTTGGGGAGTTTTTCCCTCTGTTCATCGAGTCTTGGCACACTTTGGCTTTCTGATCTTCGCTCCCTCTCTAAGATGGTTATAACTCTTTTCCTTTTATCTCTTACAATGGCTACCTCTATTGGAAAAGGAAGTTTGCTCATCCACTTACTATCTTGGCAGGCTTTCAATTGCCCCAATTTAAAGGAGATTTCCTTGGAGTTTTCTCGTCAAGAAAATGATAGCACTGACCTTGTTGCGATGGTTGATGGCATGGGAAGGGGTTGCCCAAGATTACAGAACATACACATCTCATCTTTCCGTCTTTCTCATGCTGTAGTACTAGCACTCACAGCTGCACAATTGAGGTTTGTGCTACTAGTCTCATTTAGTATTGCAACGAGCTTGAATTTTTATCTTGATTGTTCAGGGTAGATCTTTATTTTCATACATACTTACCATGGATTGTTCTTTTGTTTTTGCATTGATCAGTGAATTGCGGATGCTTTCACTTGTTCTTGGAGTTGACATCACCGATGCTTCTGTTGCTTCTATTGCTTCAAGCTATCCAAACTTGGAATTGCTTGATCTTAGCGGGTATGCATTTCTTTTACTAATCTCACGCTCCATTGTAATCTTGAGAATAATGTAGGAAGTGTTGAAGTGATTGGTGCAAGGAGTCCATGTTAAAGGGTCACATGTTTGGATAATGAAACTGTTCGCATGTTAAAGGGTCAAGTAAATAATGAAACTGTTCTTGACAGTGAATTGCTTTAGAATTTATCATCTCTTGCTTAAAAATGTTTCCTTAAATCGCTAAAGCGAGCTTATTGATATCATATTATTCTTAAGCCATAATTAGTATACAGAGATCATCTGAATCGACCATTGATTTTGTTTTCAGGTCTAGCATCAGTGACAGTGGCATTGGAATGATATGTAATGTATTCCCAGATTCATTGTCTAGACTTCTCCTTGCCCTGTGTCCCAACATCACTTCAAGTAATCACTCATATTTATATCTGATTTTTGTGTAATTTCATCTTTGTATAAATTTTTTAGTATGCTGGGTCTTGGTTTTCGGTTACTGATGAAATTGCCCTTGCTCTACAGGTGGCATACAATTTGCAACGGCTGAATTGCCACTTCTTGAACTCATGGATTGTGGGATGACAATTTGTGACCCTAATGCTCAGGATTCTACATCTGAAACTGGTGACCATGAGTTATCAAAACAACCAAACTCTAAGTTTCACCTCATTTACCAAAAGCTGATCATCAAACACAACCACCTGAAAAAGCTGAGTTTGTGGGGTTGTTCCGGTTTAGATGTGAGACTCTTTAGCCATTAGATATCAATTCTATACGCCATTAGTTTCTGCGTTCTTAGTCTGTTCTTCATATGCAGGCTCTATATCTTAACTGCCCACAACTAGAGGATCTCAATCTGAACTCTTGCAAAAATTTGCATCCAGGTGAGTTTTTTTATTCTTCTCTTACCTCTTAACTGATGATCTCCTTGAAACTGACTATAATCCATATATCAGATGGCAAGTTTTTCTCCTAATAATATTGGATATATATGTCTGCTCGCAGAGAGATTGTTACTTCAGTGCCCCAGTTTACGAACTGTGCACGCATCAGATTGCAAGGAGTTAGTAGTTGGAGCTATTCGAATTCAGGTACACAAATTGATTACTTGACTTTAATCTCCTACTGAATTTGAGGATTGGTTACCTGGAAAGTGGCGACAATCCATGTACATGGTAGATGGCTCAAAGAAGAATCAGCTCTCTGATGTGATTATGCATCTCTTTTGTCAATTTCAGCTTGATAAGGCTGCTGCACCTGAGGAGAACCTACTATCATGCAAGCGCTTGGCAGATGGCTCAAAACGTATTCGAGTTCCACCTCTTATTAATTCACAGGCAAGTCAGAACTACTCGTTATATCCATATAGTGGTCTGAACATAAACATGGTTGTTAAGAACATATTGCCCAAGAGCGAGCTTAAACTTGTGAGCTTAATGGTAACTAACAAGTTTAGGAGTATTTTAACACGGAATCGGAATAAAAAAAAGTCTAATACTCAATTTCATGTAGTATAATTTCTTTCTCAATTGTTCAATTCACATATTTGGCTTCATGAACCCAATTAATATCCTAATCTACACAATGATGCGTACACAAACTTCATGCAGTAGTAAATAACAGTGATCTTGTTCTTGTTGGCAGTCATCGGATAATTATACGAAACGAAGAAGGGTAGGAAGCCATCAGTGTAACATTCTTATGTCTTAAACAGTTCAGAAGTTCATAATGTTTTTCTTCTTGGCACACTGATAGTAATTGTGCGTTGTGTATTAGAGCCAATGAAGGCAGAGTGCAGCTGCCATCCATTTGGGGTTATAGGCAGAGCACCTCGCCTGTGTAAACATTTTTATTTGTAACACTTCCACACTTCCTAAAACTATATTTTTCAGTATGGAACTGAGTCCAGTACCCAGAGCCAAGCCATACATGGAAAGCTTATTAGGGTTTATAAGTTCTTTTTCTTTCCCCCCAATAAAGAACAATAGTTATTTATGATTAATTATTATTTGAGCACTACTTGATTGACTCCACTTGGTTGCAAGTTCATGTTCTGGAAGATGAGATTCGGAGTTCAGGGCAGGACTTGGAGGATTTATTATTCAAGGTCACCTACACTAGGTCGTGGTGGTGGCCCTCCAAATTCTTGGATGCTCGGTCAAACGGTATAAAACTATTAGCCACATTTGCTCAGTCTCAATTAAGAGGCTAGTCCCTTTGACTCGAGACAGCTCTCTTTTGCCCAAGTATTATAGGGAAAATCTCGACCTAATCTGCGAGGCTAAATAGGTACGTCAAATCTCAGCTATGTTCAACTTTATGCTTCATTAAGCTTGATTCTTGGTTTTTTGATATCATCGTCTTCCTTCACTTGCTATCGATTGATGAAGGTGGGTTTGAAGAATTTCACTTCAATCAAAACTAACGCAAAATTGAAAAATATCACACGTGCAAAGACACTCAAAAGACAGGCACACGCAATGCATATTAATCGATCACGAACACACAGTCACAATCCACATGTGGCAGAGAGACAAAGAAACACATCAAATTAAAAGTTTGATTAATACCCAAAGGTCGAACTTTTTTCTTTCCTTTTCTTTTTAAGTACTTAAAAGCGTTTTTTAACACAATTTTAAAGCTTAGCTAGCCATTGCATTATTAGCACAAAAAAAGACATTTTCAATAAATAACATAAACAGCAAACCCAAAACATGAATGGGTCATCCACATAAATGCCTTCTTCAACCATCCACATGACCTTGTTCCCTATGCTCAACCATCCATATGGAACATTTCCATTTAATTATTGGCCCTCTCCTATATATATATATATATATAGTTATAATAATAATATATTTAAGAAGAAATTTCAAGAATCAATCATTGAAAAATTATTATATAAATTAATAAACAAAACAATATTATTATTACTACAAGCAAACAGGGAGTTTATTATTTAAACCCAAATCCATAAATACTTAAACAAAGTATGTTAGACAAATATCAAACCAAGTCTTAAAACTTAAGCAAATAAGTATATATGACAAATATAAAACTACCACTTAAAACGGTTTCACATCTTACTTAATCATACAAGAAACACCCAAACAACCCATCTGCCTTCTTTTCTCGAATCTGAACGTTTTTCTAAATTATCGGTATTTCGATAATTAGGGTAAACTAAGACTCGAGATCGAACCGAGTTAAGCTGCCTTTGATTTTACTTGCTTAGCTTCTATTCTTGCATTTCTCCACCGCCCTAGGTGCTGAAATGAGGAGGGAGAGAAATTGAAGGCTAGTTTAGAAGGGTATTGAAGCAAGGAATGATGTTAATAAAGACGTTCGTTGTATTGACCAATGTTAATATTTTCACTTAAATCTTTGTCGAGACAAAAGACAGGTTGTGTCAAGAAATCTAGAGGAGTAGGACAGACAATTGGTCAAATATGTTAGTATGGAGTCGGTGACTCTGTTACAGAAGTTCTAAAGCTAAGTAGAGAAAGGTCATGATTTTGTACGAATTAAAAAATAATAATAAAAGATATTGATATTTAAAAATAAATACGAACAGTAATACGAACTAAAAATGATAATTTAACCTAATATTCTTAGATTCAACATTTCTTTTTATATTCTAATATTATTGCATAAGATCTTAGACCAATAATTAATATTATTTTAGCTCACAAATTAAGGGAAATAATTAAAAATAAATTTTAAAAACTACATTCTATTTTAGTGGCAGGTTAATAATTTTCAATTCTTAAAATTACCTTCTTTTTTAAATTAACTGAAAAAAAAAACTATTTTTGTATCTAAATTCTTTGAAAAATTTTAAGAAATAAAAATTGTCTATTATGGGATGGGAAAAAAACCCTTTTAAAAATATTGTTTTAGGGTTAGGATGATTGAAGATAAAACGTACCGAGTCCAATGGCCTCCTTTCCTTTCATGATGCGTAGACGTTTGCAAGATTCAACGAACATTCTATATTTGTCAAAATAAATGGAATTAATGAATTGGTACGTAAACATCGAAATTTATGGCTCCAAAAAAATACTAAAACTTACTCCCATGGAACATCTCCAACCAGCATCCAATCACCGTCTTTGTCTTCATAAGTTGGAACATAATCAGAGCCACTCAGAAGATCCATCAACTTGCTCTCGTTCATGAAATCCTTCATTTCTTGAGATCCACAGTTACCTCGAATAATATAAACGAAACCCGGATTCAAAAAGTCACCAAAGAAATCAATAAGTAAAGAAGAAGAGTAATTGACGAGAAATTATTTACGGTTGAACGTATATGAGATTGAAGCCTCTCGAACTAATATCTAGAACAAATTCTTGAATCTACATCCAACGGTTATTATTTGTTAGACGATTACGGTAGCTTACTAATGGTGGTGAAGGAGCCAAACATGGCAGCGAGAGCATCAGAGAGTTGCTTGTAGCTCTTGTACATCTTCAAGTCCACTTTACGAAGATATGGCGCGCCATCCATGCTTACTTTCACGAACGCCAACATGTTGTTCTTTCGGAACGATCGAACTGGTGGCCATCCCACAACTTGTGCCCTTCACGCATTCACGAAAACAGAAGAAATCATTGGAGGAGATTCACAAAAAAAATTCGAATTGCGTTAAATAAATTTGAGTTTACTTAGCCGGAGGCTTGGCTGGATCTGCGGTGAGGACGGCTTTGTCATCGTTTCTCGGGTTGCGATCAGCAGCAACACCGTCATCGTCCCCGGTGGCTTCTTTGGACGAAAGATTAAGCTTGAGATCAACCTTGGAAATGGTCTCACTGCTGACAGTTTCAGCAAAGCCTCGTTTCCGAGCCGTTATCTCTCCCGATTCGCCACCACCACCGCCGTTGTTGTTGTTGTTGTTTCCGGGCAGACCGAGCCGGAGCTCGGTCTCTTCAAACTCCATCTTCTTCTTCTCCGCCATAAACTCTCTCTCTCTCTCTCTCTTTTGGGTTCTATGTGTATTATGATCTATGAGTGAAAGGCTACACCTTTTTGCTTGTTTGGTTGGTTGGTTTTGTATTATGAAAATAACCCGCGGGTGAGAAGGAGGGCTGTGTACGTGCTAAACATACATGGCGGTGAGGTGGGTTATTTTTCTTTCTTTAATGGATGGAGTTGTGAGACTGTGAGACTGTGAGACTGTGACGTGTGGAGGGTGAAGTGAGGCGGTGTCTTCCAAGCTTGTGGGATAAATAACGAGCGGGTGAATTTAGCATTCCACCGTCTTCTCTGCCTTTCTCTTGCCTTTGACTGTTATTATTTAATTTAATTTAATTTATAGGCGTAAAAAAATTTGTTATTTTTAAAAATTATTATTGGTTGTTAATTATATGTGATATTAATATTTTGTATATTTTAATTTTTATAATCTTATTTAATGTAATTTTATTAACTAAATAATAATGTGACAAATTTGTTTAATAAAATTGAATTATTAGGGTTTGATATGTTGGATTGCCCATACCAATTTATTTTGTCTAATAATTTTTATTTATTATTTGTTATGTTGCATCAAATTAATTAATAACATTATTTAATTAGCTAAATAAAAAATAAATCGCCTTTTAAAAAATAATTAGTTCGAAAATGCTATTAATACAATAATTATTTTTTTATTTCTTTTTTCCCTATGCATTTTAGTTTATGATTGGCTAATAATTATTGGCCATGAAATGGATGATGTTTGTATTGCACGCGCCAAAAAATAGCTATCCATCACAAATTTTGAAAAATCGTTCATTCAAATTGGATATACAAAAAGATGTCACGATAACATTCTACACTAGTGATTACGTACAGGGTCATTGAGTATTTTGTGTGTTGAGTGGGTGCATACTCTAATGGCATAGTCGAGTCGGGTCGTGTTAAATTTGATTGAATAGTATTTGCTATCAACACCCACTAAAGAAAACATGGAATATGGAGATGTTGGGGTGTGCCCTTTATGTGTAGCAAAGTGCTTTATAATGCCTTGAAAAAGATGAGAAAAAAGAATCAAAACCAAGGCTTTTACAAATGGTAGCAACGACACTCGAACCTATTTGTTGAAAAAAACAACAAAAGAAAGAAAGTTTTTGAGACGGTGTTCTCAAAAGTGTAAGACTTGAGGCATGCGAATGTTTTCTCGAGCCAAACTGAAATTGACCCTCGAGTGCAAAAGTAGAAGAAAGTTAGCTCGACTCGAAGATTCACTCGTTGTGAGACTAAACTATGTTCTCAAAAGTTTAAGAATTGAGGCGTGGAAAGGTTTTCTCGAGCCAAACTAAAATTGACCCTCGAGTGCAAAAGCAGAAGAAAGCTGGCTCGACTCCAAGATTCACTCGTTATGAGACTAAACTATGTTCTCAAAAGTTTAAGAATTGAGACGTGGAAAGGTTTTCTCGAGCCAAACTGAAATTGACCCTCGAGTGCAAAAGCATAAAAAAGTTAGCTCGACTCCAAGATTCACTCGTTATGAGACTAAACAAAACGACCCATCAAACTGAAACAGAAACAAGACGTTTATTTTTTCATAAGCTATTGACGAAACCCTAATGGTAGGGACTAAATTGTAAATAGTGAATAAATAGGGTTATTATTATGAAATAGATTCATTTGGAAGGTGGGGGCAAATGGGAAGGGAGCCCACATGGAAGGACATGTCATGTGCATAGATTCATTTGGAAGGTGGGACCCACTTAATGGGCCATGTGAAATTGTAGGGTTTGTGTCACCAAAGTCTCGAACCCTATCCCATGTGCACCGGTGCAGGGTATCCCACTGGCCCCTCCCCTCCCCTTTCTTCTCCATCAATTCTAATTTTAATTTACTTTTTTTTTTCATCTATATTTGTCTCGGTTTAAGTTTACGTCGCTCGCCGTACACGGGAATTTGGCTCGATGTTAAAAAGTAAGAACCTACGTACGGTTGTCTTCTCTATAAACGTTTACATTTTGAATCTTGAGTCAATATATGAACTTAGGTACGAGATTAAGCTGGTTTCGTATATATATTTTTGACCTAAACCCGACATGGTTTCTATTTTAATTTCTCGTAACATAGCATATAATAAAAACATTATATTATATATATATATTTATTGATGTAAGATTAAGTTAAGAACATTATGAACCTTGTTTGGCAGACAAATGAGTATCAATAATAATTTTAATATTATGATGATATAAAGCCTAAGTTCGTCTTTTAATAATGTGTATTTAATGGTCAATGATATCTTTATGAGCCAATCTTCATGTTCCCTTTTAATTCATCCCTCTTCTTTTAAGACTAATATTTTAATAATTATAGGCTTACCCGATGAACCTAACGTTCCCGTGTGACATGTCTACGTTACCTAGATATCTTAAATTGATTCTAAGAGTGAGTACTATCTCTACAAACCAACACGACTTCTTTTAGCATAGTGGAATACAAAATAATTTACTTAGGATTTCGTTCTAAGATCGCGTTAACGGTAATGTTGTGTCAAGAGGATTTGGTCTTTAGGTTAGTCCGATTTGTTATATTAGCTAATTGGAAGCTAGAGACGTGTTAGGTTTTGACCTAAAGAAAAACCCTAAGCTAATAATAACTTTTGGAATATTATATGTATTTTATTTATTGATTTATGCTCGAATTGACATGTTAATAAGTGGGCCTTGATATAGAGGGAACAGATAAATGACACCGACAATGAAGATATTAAAATTTAAGAATTTGAAAGTGATATTTTTGGCAAGTTTTTTAATTTGTACTGACAAGCTCGAGATTATATTTATTAATTTGAGTATAAATAAATATATTAAAAATATATTTTCGATTAAAAGGTGATTTTTTTTAGTGAATTAAAAAATTAAAAATTGGTTTAAATTATAAAATTAAAAACAAAATGATTTATAATATATTAATATCCAAATAAAAGATGAAAGAGACGGATCAAAGAAAGGTGGGGGGGAGGAGCGGTTGAGTTAATTGGGCCAATGTCCACAAGTCCAAAGACCGTAACACGCACGTGTGGGAGGAGAGCCCACAAGTCAAAGTCCATCATGTTTCATGTCACACGTGTGTTCCAACAATTGATTGAATCCTTCTCTTCCTTGCATTAATTACCTTTTAATTAATTAATTAAATATTCTTGTTCGAAAATTAAAATAGATTATTCATATTTAAATTATAATAATAAAAGGTAATATTTAAAAAATGTATTTTAAAATTAACAATAAATCCAGTTCGTGAAAGGTCAGGTGAGAATATTTTCTTTCAACTAAACAATAATTGAGCGAAAGATTCAATGCACGGACCACATAAAAAGAAGCTTTCAATGAGATTGACCATTTGATTCTTCGTTCTACCAAAGCAGCAAAAAAGAGAAAAGGTGAGGATCCAATGCATTAATGAAAGAGCAGCTTTCTTGTCTCGAGATTATCTATTCATGTTCATCGCTTACTGCAGTAACAAAAGTTTTTTAAGGTATATATCTTCGACTTTTTTCAACCGAGCATAGTTTAAACTCAAACGCTGACGGTAGCCACTTATTGGGTACGCGTTTAATCGAGAAGTATTAACGATGATGCTCGAGAGTCGGAATAAACCCTAAAATTTTATGTTCCACAAAAGCTTTGTAGGGTAGTGGGAGAGTGTTAAGCAATTATGAAGGAGAGAGCTATTGGAGTGTGACATTTCTTGCATATCTCCAACTTATCTTCTAATTCTTATCCTCTCTTTGCTGTCTTTGTTTGGTGCAAATCCTTTGCTCGTGGACTTGTTTCCTTTCACATCCAATGTCACAACCTAATCTCTTTCCACGTGTCCCACGTCTTTGTGTATGATGTGTTATGTTTTGTAGGGCTATTCGGTTTTAATATTTACTCTATGAATAGTTTGATATTTGAGAACGAGGTGAGAATATCAATGCAGAGAAGTACGAGAAACTGGTTAATCTCATGAAGAAAGTGTATACGTATTTTCACTCTAATTCAACCATGATTGTAATGGACCTGTAACACCAATGTTCTCGTAAATAATAGATCATGATGTAAACGTTTGGTTTCAACCCAGAATTCAATATTAAATATTTTACAAGTTCAAAAAAAAAAAAAAACCAAATTATACTCTAAATTGTACATATTAGATTTGGAGTGAATGGTAGAATGATGTATACGAGTTCAATGAATAATTCGTTTATCTTATGCATTTTATTTAAACTATTTTCACTTTATTTTATTTTTTAAAAATTAATTAATTAAATAAATATTCGCACTCATAAGAAAATCGGTATTTTTTTGCTCCAAATATTGCTCGTATAATAATATTTTCGATAATGTATATGGGGATGGATGACCCTCTATACAGTTGTTTTTTTTTTTTTTTTTTTTGG